TCGCAGCGCTTTCTTCCGTTAAAATCCCCAGATGGATCGGGTGTACTCCAGATGCTCCAGTCACGTTGCATGTATTCTCAGATGCATCCGAGAAGGGCTATGGCTGTTGTTTCTATGTTGTGTCCGGTTTGACGTCTTCTTTGTTGTGTGCGAAGGCGAAGGTTGCACCTGTTGTACGTCCCACTCTTGCGCGTCTGGAATTGTCGGCTGTGTGTCTTGGCGTGAAGATGTTGTCCTTTGTCGTCAATGAATTGAGAGTGCCAATTGAAAGGATTGTGGGGTGGACAGACAGCCTAACCACATGGCACTGGATCTCAAAGCCGTCGTATCACTGGAAGACGTATGTTGCTAATCGAGTTGCTGCAGTGCAAGAAGTTTCGCAGAAGCTGCAAGTAGAATGGCGTCACTGTCCAGGAGTTAGCAACCCTGCAGATCTTGTCTCGCGTGGTGTCCCAGTGTGTGACTTGCAGAAGGAGATGTGGCTGCATGGTCCGTCATGGTTGAGCGATGAGTCTCAGTGGCCACCAGTCATCTCGTTTCAGAGCACCAATGAGTCCGTCACCGAAGCACGCGTGTCGGCTGTGGAGGTTGACACTCCAGTTGTTTGGCCGTGGGAGAAGTTCTCCAAGTGGCAACGAGCTCGCGGTTTGGTCGCAAGTATGCTGTCATGGCGACACAAGGGTGTTTCGCGTGCAGAATTGATTCCATCTGCTGAGTCTGTGATGTTTCGCGCCATCCAAGAGCAATGCTTCCCTAAGGAGTTGTCCCAGTTGCGGAGCAAGGAGCCACTGAAGAAGGGTTCGAAGCTGTTCAAGTTGTCTCCGTTTCTGGATGAAGCTGGTTTGCTCAGAGTTCGTGGTCGTCTGCAGGAGAGCGATCTGTCCTACGAGGTTCAGCATCCGATCATCCTGGGCAGATGTCATCTAAGTGAGTTGTTTCTGCGTGATGCTCACCTTCAGCGAATGCACCAGGGTGTAGAGAGCGTGCTTGCGTTTCTACAACAGCAGTTCTGGATTCTCGGAGCTCGTCGGTTTCTTCGTAGCGTGTCGGAGAAGTGCATTGTTTGCCGCAGATTTCGCGCACAGACTGCTGCTGAGGAGATGCCGCCGTTGCCCTCAGACAGGGTGAAGCACCACCAGCCATTCGGTCTCACAGGTATTGATTATGCAGGTCCGTTGTACGTGCGCAGTTCATCAAATGTTCAGAAAGTGTGGGTCGCACTCTTCGTGTGCGGTACTACTCGCGCAGTGCACCTAGAGCTCGTGGATAGCCTGTCGACAGAGGTGTTCCTGCTAGCATTGCGTCGTTTCATCGCCCGTCGTGGGAAGCCGCTGCGTATACGTTCAGATAATGCTACGACGTTCAAGTCCGCCGCAGACAAGGTGGCAATCCCGTGGTTCTTCAATCCGCCATCTGCCCCGTGGCATGGAGGGTTCTATGAGCGTCTGGTGGCATGTGTGAAAGCTCCCTTGAAGAAGGTTCTCGGTCGAGCGTCATTGAGTCGAGACGAGCTGTTCACTGTCTTGACGGAGATCGAGAGAGTCGTCAACTCTCGACCCCTCACTCCGGTTTCTACGGATGTAGCTGACGAGTCGCCGCTGACTCCAGCCATGATGTTGGGAGACATCTTTGCAACCGGTATTGCCTCGTCTGACAGACCACTCGGTCCACGGCAGTTGTCCGCTCGAGTCAAGTATGTCCACACCGTCTACGAGCACCTCAACCAGCGTTGGTCGTCTGAGTATCTCATTCGTCTCAGTGAGTATCATCGGTCGAAGTCAACTCCGATTGTCGTGAACGACGTTGTGTTTATTGCCGACGACAACCGGAAGCGGCAATCATGGCGCTTGGGTAGGGTCGCAGAGCTGTATCCTGGAAGAGATGGCAAGTGCAGGGTGGCCAAAGTCCAAGTTGGCCAATCGTCCATGCTACGGCCCATTCAACGCTTGGTTCCGTTGGAAGTAGCGAAGGAGCATGTTGAGCCGCCTGCTGTGGACGCTGAGCCGCAGCCGCAGACACCCGCGAGCGCTGATCCAGTCAACGTCGTCAATGATGTTGAAATACCTTCGACGACCGTTGAGCCGCAAGTTACGCGTCGATCTCGTCGTACCGTTCGACCACCACCTCGTCTTGATTTGTGATCAGTGTGGTTGAAGCCCTTTGGTGGGGAGAATGTTGTGTATCGTGTCGGAGAAAGGTCTTCTGGGGTGTCGTCGAGATCTCGTTGCGACCGTGACTCCTGCTTGTCTCCCTGGCTAGGTGCTGCTTGCTTTGCTTTTTGCGTAGTGTTTTTGATTATTGTTTACTATTGCGTATTGTTAGTGTTCGTTGTGATTTGGTACAGTACTTGTTACGAGATACGACACATTGTGTAGTGTGTGTTTGCAGCACGAAGAAGACTGCACACCAGAACGGTTAGCTCAGGAGCTTGGGCTTACCTTGTGCAATCACAGTTCATCAGCTTGGACATTGCGCTTGGTCCCATGCGAATAACCGACTAGAATAGTAATTATTTCTTCGTTGCATTTTTGAATTGTGTTCTTGCTAGCTCGTTGATTTATTTAGTTGATGTGTTGATTTGTGTTTGATTACTTATTTATTTGATGCGCGATTTATGTGCGCTGATTGCGTGATGGCATGCAATTATGATCATGCTTGCGCCAGCTAGCTAGATGCCTGCGCCGCGCACTGATGTTGAATGAGTTAGCATGCGCCCCGCGCTGTTCATGCATATATGGTACATGGTGTGTAATGTTTGCCGCACACGCGTATAGGTGCCGCGCCTCGTACTGCGCATGTGCCTCGCGCCGTACTATTGCTGTCGCTTTGCCAAATTTAGCTTCCGCTTTCCGAGCGCTGTACGCTCTTCTGTACGCTCATGCCAAAGTTGGACGCACGTTGTGGCTGGCCAGCGCTTTACCCCTCATGCGTTGTTCTTTTCCTTGATGCTGTGGTTTGTTTTCTTTAGTGTTCTAGAGTTCTCTTTCCGATGTAGTTCGTATTTTTCCAGTCTCTTCTTCTCAATGTATTCTACTGTTCATTCATTATAGTCCGTAAAGAATTACGTGACCTTTTGTCTTGTGGCGTCTGTGCGATCCTGAAACTTTTGAGGTGTTAGTAGTGAACACAACACCCTGGTATGGTGCGCATGAAGGCTTTGGCAAGGAACCATGTATGGTGGCCAGGTCTTGACAGCGACGTGGAGCGAGCCGTCCGAAGCTGCCATGCATGCCAAGTGAACAGGAATCGTGATCAACCAGTGGAGGTGACACGTTGGCCCAATCCAGCAGCACCCTGGAGTCGCATTCACGCCGATTTTGCTGGACCAATGGAAGGACGAATGTATTTGATCGTGACTGATGCATTCTCCAAGTGGTTGGAAGTGATTCCTATGTCCTCCACCACCAGCAAGACGACTATCGCAGAGTTCCGGAAGCTGTTTGCGGCGTATGGTTCTCCTGATGCAATCGTGACGGACAACGGCCCGCAGTTCACGTCCGTGGAGTGGAGCAACTTCATGGCTGAGAGAAGTATCATCCACCTGCGCAGTGCACCATACTTCCCCGCAACCAACGGAGCTGCAGAACGCTGTGTCCAAACATTCAAAGCTGCCTTGTTGAGTGAGAAGCGTGGTCTACTGTCTTGGACCGAGGCACTGCAGACGTTCTTGGAACGGTATCGCTCGACTCCTCACGCGACAACAGGAGAAACTCCATCGGCATTGTTCCTTCAACGGGAGCTCAAGACCAGACTGCACCTGGTACAGCCGCAAGCCAAGAATACCACCACCGCTGCCTGCCACCAGCCGCCAGCAAAAGGGTTGGACGAAGGCAGCGCCGTCTATGCGCGGATGTTCAACCAGCCTCAGAAGTGGTCAGCTGGCACCGTATTGCAGCGGAAAGGCACCAAGTCTTTCGAAGTTAAGCTGGCCAATGGTGTCATTGTGCGTAGACATGTGGACCAGCTGCGTGTTCGTGATCCTGCAACGACTCCTGAGCTTCCCTCTGATCCTGAGAAGGTAGTTCAGCAACGTGATGCTCGGACGCCATCAAGGCGTCACGCACTGAAGCCACAGCGCTACAGGGACTGAACTATTCTAGAGCACCGCTCTGTTCTCTTGTTCATGTTCAGCCGCCTTCTCATAATGCTCACTCTTCGCACACTGTCCTTCCCTCTGTTAGGCTCTCCCTTGTGTTTTTGAAGGGGGAGATTGTAGTGTATGTGTAGGTGCATGACATCATTATTGTGTGTACACCAGTCCGCATGCGCGGTCTCTGAATCTGCATAACTTCTAGTGGAGCGGGGTTCTTTTCCCGCGTCTTGCTTGCTTTCGGACTGTTCTTCCAGATGTACTTGTAATGGTAGTTTTCTCCGACCCTGTGATTGTGCTTTGCTGAACCCGATATAACAGTAGCCAGTAGCCAGTAGCTGGTAGCCAGTAGCCAGTAGCTATGACTACACAGTGTTCTTTTTAGAGCACACTGGGAATCTCTGGGAATCTCCGGGAATCTCTTACTGATCCAGTACTACAGTCCATTTCAAAACTATAGACGCGTACCTAGGCAAAAACCGTTATGCCAGCATCTATACCACATAAAATCTGTGATCACTTTGTACATAAATTTTTCCAAATTGGGCGTCTGTTATCCAATCCTTTAGAAACTATATGAGAGTAATTGTGGAGCGATCCTGAGCAATATTCCGAAAACTATTCTCAAAAAGTTCCAGCCAAATTTGAAATATTTCAAAAACCCTACGCGTCTATAGTTTTGAAATGCACTGTAAAATATGTTGACTGCGCGGCATGGGAATTACAATACTATTTTTACATAATGATGTCATGCCAGCATGCATAGCAGTCATCATGATGTCATGCCATCATGTATAGCAGCCATCATGATGTCATGTCATCATGCATAGCAGCCATCAAGATGCCATGACATCATGCATAGCAGTCATCATGTTGTCATGTTATCATGCATAGCGGTCATGTGGCCTACCGTAGTCCAGGCGAGAGGGTCGTCGATGGACACAATCACTTGAAGTGAACCTCCTGTTGAACGTCGGTGGCAGCTTGAATGGCATTGGTTTGCCCATGTCCCTGTTGTCATAGCAACATCATTGTGTAACAGAGAGAGAGAGGGAGAGAGAGAGAGAGAGAGAGAGAGAGAGAGAGAGAGAGAGAGAGAGAGAGAGAGAGAGAGAGAGAGAGAGAGAGAGAGAGGGAGAGAGCGGGGGGGGGGGGGGATGAGTGAAGTGGAAGAACAAAAGCGACAGACACGAGAAACTGATTTGTGGAAATCACCATGCTGGAATGGAGAACTTCCACGACTACCCAGAGCAAGAATAGTACAGCCGTCAACGTAGAGACAGGATGAGGCACAACAACAGAGACCAAACGCTTTCTCGTGACTCCAAGTTTCGTGTTCAAAAACACTCATCAGACGACAGGATGATGTATCGTCTGGGCCGAACAATGCACACTGCAACGTCTTGTCTTTGTACCGGGAGGGTCATCCCGATGGGTAATGACCCACCCTGCATTCTCATATTTCATTGAAACAACAATTTCCCACGTAGGGAATAACACACAATTGCTCAAGTAGTGCCGAGGTCGCTACAACCTTTTCTTAGGACAATTTGTTATTGGTGCAAGAAACGAAAACCACATGCACACCTACAGTGTACATGTATTCATGTACTTCCTCCGCGTCATCGAAATTGTCGCAGTTTGACTAGTGACTTGTCACTTGTTACTAACAACTCCATAAGCTAAGCCATTCAAAACTTATGACACAGTATGATAGTCTGAAGACTAGAGTAACGTTCCAGGACAGTTGGACTGAGAGTTTGCATGCAGAGATGAAGTCCTCGTCGTCGCTGATGTCAATGGACGCAAAAATATCGTTCCGAAATATTTCAAGGAAGGTTGAGAGTTGGTCGCGCCTCATCTCAAACGTTTTGACTTTCTCCACAGGACAAGAGCTGCTATGCTTGTCGTCTGCTAGCTCTGGATGATTTCTACTTCACCACCAACGAAGCCTAGTAAGAATACACTATCGTTGCGAGGTCGGTTGATTACCGTCGGCGGAATCACCTCGATCTTGAAATGAACTTTTTTTAGCCGTGGCATGCCCATTTATTTTAGCTGTGTGGTCACAGCTCATGCAGGTAAGGTGTACTATCACGTCCAGCGCGCCCTCTTTTTCAGCATCACTGCCCGGCCCTGATTCACTGGTATACCATGGTACGGCACCTGCGCCTGCATCACTAGCACTACGTGTAGAATCTACACGGCTCTTGCAGGTACAATCATGTACTGAGTGTCTCGTCCAGAGCGACAAAATAATTTTATCGCTGTTGCAGGCATTTAGTTTGCTGACCCCTCGATGTTTCTCCAAGCGCTGCCACTTGTTCCACGAAGTCATTCTCAGCCAACTAAGGTAAAACAGTGATGAGGCTTGAGTGAATGGCCATAAGCACGAGAAATGTGCAGGCTGCAACGCCTGACTGATCTCATCGAGTCGAAATTACCATCGCAGCGGCATCAGCGAAGAAATTGCGTCTAGTTCAAAAATTCCAGCTTCCAATAACAGAAAATAGAACTTTGCCGTCACCCTATACTGATGACCGTTGCCTATGTCCGATTCCTTGCCTCTGGTACGAGTGCTGGTGAGTAAATACCCCGTTTTATATCAAAAGTCAAACTGCGACAATTTCGATGACGCGGAGGAAGTACATACCTCATGACACCATGAGCTATGTACATACCTCATGTACATACCTCATGTACATACCTCATGTACATACCTCATGTACATACCTCATGGTGTCATGGCTCTGCCACTGCCTGTACTTGAGGATATTCCCATATCTCACTTGACTACTAATAGTGGTATTAAGTGCGACATTCGCTTTGAAATGGAATGACGAGTGCGACATTCACTTTGAAATGGAATGACGAGTGCGACATTCACTTTGAAATGGAATGACGAGTGCGACATTCACTTTGAAATGGAATGACGAGTGCGACATTCACTTTGAAATGGAATGACGAGTGCGACATTCACTTTGAAATGGAATGACGAGTGCGACATTCACTTTGAAATGGAATGACGAGTGCGACATTCACTTTGAAATGGAATGACGAGTGCGACATTCACTTTGAAATGGAATGACGAGTGCGACATTCACTTTGAAATGGAATGACGAGTGCGACATTCACTTTGAAATGGAATGACGAGTGCGACATTCACTTTGAAATGGAATGACGAGTGCGACATTCACTTTGAAATGGAATGACGAGTGCGACATTCACTTTGAAATGGAATGACGAGTGCGACATTCACTTTGAAATGGAATGACGAGTGCGACATTCACTTTGAAATGGAATGACGAGTGCGACATTCACTTTGAAATGGAATGACGAGTGCGACATTCACTTTGAAATGGAATGACGAGTGCGACATTCACTTTGAAATGGAATGACGAGTGCGACATTCACTTTGAAATGGAATGACGAGTGCGACATTCACTTTGAAATGGAATGACGAGTGCGACATTCACTTTGAAATGGAATGACGAGTGCGACATTCACTTTGAAATGGAATGACGAGTGCGACATTCACTTTGAAATGGAATGACGAGTGCGACATTCACTTTGAAATGGAATGACGAGTGCGACATTCACTTTGAAATGGAATGACGAGTGCGACATTCACTTTGAAATGGAGTGACGAGTGCGACATTCACTTTGAAATGGAATGACGAGTGCGACATTCACTTTGAAATGGAATGACGAGTGCTACATTCACTTTGAAATGGAATGACGAGTGCGACATTCACTTTGAAATGGAATGACGAGTGCGACATTCACTTTGAAATGGAATGACGAGTGCGACATTCACTTTGAAATGGAGTGACGAGTGCGACATTCACTTTGAAATGGAATGACGAGTGCGACATTCACTTTGAAATGGAATGACGAGTGCGACATTCACTTTGAAATGGAATGACGAGTGCGACATTCACTTTGAAATGGAATGACGAGTGCGACATTCACTTTGAAATGGAATGACGAGTGCGACATTCACTTTGAAATGGAATGACGAGTGCGCCATTCACTTTGAAATGGAATGACGAGTGCGACATTCACTTTGAAATGGAATGACGAGTGCGACATTCACTTTGAAATGGAATGACGAGTGCGACATTCACTTTGAAATGGAATGACGAGTGCGACATTCACTTTGAAATGGAATGACGAGTGCGACATTCACTTTGAAATGGAGTGACGAGTGCGACATTCACTTTGAAATGGAATGACGAGTGCGACATTCACTTTGAAATGGAATGACGAGTGCGACATTCACTTTGAAATGGGAATGACGAGTGCGAAATTCACTTTGAAATGGAATGACGAGTGCGACATTCACTTTGAAATGGAATGACGAGTGCGACATTCACTTTGAAATGGAGTGACGAGTGCGACATTCACTTTGAAATGGAATGACGAGTGCGACATTCACTTTGAAATGGAATGACGAGCGCGACATTCACTTTGAAATGGAATGACGAGTGCGACATTCACTTTGAAATGGAATGACGAGTGCGACATTCACTTTGAAATGGAATGACGAGTGCGACATTCACTTTGAAATGGAATGACGAGTGCGACATTCACTTTGAAATGGAATGACGAGTGCGACATTCACTTTGAAATGGAATGACGAGTGCGACATTCACTTTGAAATGGAATGACGAGTGCGACATTCACTTTGAAATGGAATGACGAGTGCGACATTCACTTTGAAATGGAATGACGAGTGCGCCATTCACTTTGAAATGGAATGACGAGTGCGACATTCACTTTGAAATGGAATGACGAGTGCGACATTCACTTTGAAATGGAATGACGAGTGCGACATTCACTTTGAAATGGAATGACGAGTGCGACATTCACTTTGAAATGGAATGATGAGTGCGACATTCACTTTGAAATGGAATGACGAGTGCGACATTCACTTTGAAATGGAATGACGAGTGCGACATTCACTTGAAATGGAATGACGAGTGCGACATTCACTTTGAAATGGATTGACGAGTGCGACATTCACTTTGAAATGGAATGACGAGTGCGACATTCAATTTGAAATGGATTGACGAGTGCGACATTCACTTTGAAATGGAATGACGAGTGCGACATTCAATTTGAAATGGAATGACGAGTACACATTTAGCTTACTTAGCATGGAAAGCAAGTGATGATCCCTCTGTAGCAGTGTCCGCTGTCAGCATAGCCAGTGATTCCTTGTACTCGGACTGTGCTTCACGACCTTGTCGCCATTGACACTTTGCCTCAGCTCCCAGTCGACCATCACCAGTCGTGTCTATGTACACCTGTAGAACAGGTTGTGAAAACACAGTGATGTTTTGTCATGCATCCCTGGCGTGATACATGTACGCCAGTAGCCAGAATACGGTTCATCACATGCGGCGGAGACAGTTGAAGTGAACGTGTGAATACACTAAATCGACCCGCACTGTATAACACACAGTGAGATACGTCCCGGGCTATACTAGTAATTGACTATACAATCATGTTCACTGTGACTAGTAACCTATCATTGCGGAGTATCCACTGCATGTGACTCACTAGTAGACCCAGGTGCTCGAAGTCCGTACACTTTTACAGTGTGTGTTTGCCGAGCTGAAACTCACACTAGCAATGATCACTTGCCAGAATCCTGCTCGTGGATGGAAGGTATCTTGTCCAAGTTTGTTCTGAGGCCAGGCTCGATTGAACCAGGCCATCTTTCGATCCGATCTGTTTCTCTGGAGTTCGCTGATTTTTCATATCAAATTTTGGTGTCGCAGAGGGTGCTCTAAGTCCGTACTGATCAGAGGTGACTCGAAATACACACATATTTCTGCAATCCCTCGGTTACGACGAAAGCACCAAAGGGATATGTTTGGCATGTGCCTCCACCAGTATTTCTTGCAAAAGCGTAGTTTGTTACCGAAATGCAAGCTGTTTTTAGTTGGCTCAGAGAAGAAGCAGCTGTGCTGTGAAAACCGCGGGAAAACAGTGGTGGAGATGCCAGGAGTGTCAACCTTTCTGCAAGGATTGGTGGTTCTCTGTAAATTCTTCTCCTCTGGCCATTCTCAGCTCTACGCTGGCTCTTGATGATTGAGTGAAGGTCTGTTTGACGCTGTGTCCGTTCGAAATCGGTCTTGGCAAAGTTGATTTTTGCATGAAATGTAACCCAATATGTATTTCGTATGGACACTCGAAACTCACTCGCGTGGTATGGGACTTCTGATTATCGTAGATCCCTGAAAATTGCTACGCGAGGAGAACATACCACACTGTCCCCTCCATAAAATATTTGAGTCGAATACAATAACAGAACATGAAATTATGGGCGTACAAACTTAGGATACCATGTACGGACTTCGAGCACCTGGGTCTACACTGTGAGTCACTAACTACTAACTAGTAACTACTAACTAGTAACCTACTACATGTACTACTGTACCTTTGCTGTAATGATGTACCGACGCTGAGTCAGCTGACATTCGGCAATAGCACCCTGTGAGAACACCAACACCAACAATACACCACCATCAATACACCACAAACAATACACTAATACACCAACATGCAGTACTTTTACAACACGTTTCGGAGTAGCCATTACCTACATGTACAGCTATTGCACATTGTAACTGACGCTGGCTATCGCACACTCAGTGCCACTGCTAACGCCGGCTATCGCACACTGCCACTGCCAACGTTGGCTAGTACACACTGCCACTGCCAATGCTGGCTAGTGCACATTGCTACTGCCAACGCTAGCCAAGTTCACAGCATGCATGTCAACAACCTCTTCCATCGTAACGTGCAACAGTCAAAGGTGGTGGTGGTGGTGCCCATATTGTACCATTACCTAACTGCAGTGTTGAACAACACGAGGGAGTACAGTCCTGTCCTATGTGCTAAGTGCAATGTTGAACAACACAAGGGTGTACAGTCCTGTCCTATGTGCTAAGTGCAATGTTGAACAACACAAGGGTGTACAGTCCTGTCCTATGTGCTAAGTGCAATGTTGAACAACACAAGGGTGTACAGTCCTGTCCTATGTGCTAAGTGCAATGTTGAACAACACAAGGATGTACAGTCCTGTCCTATGTGCTAAGTGCAATGTTGAACAACACAAGGGTGTACAGTCCTGTCCTATGTGCTAAGTGCAATGTTGAACAACACAAGGGTGTACAGTCATGTCCTATGTGCTAAGTGCAATGTTGAACAACACGAGGGAGTACATGAGGTATGTTCATGTGAGTCTCTGTAGCACATATTATACAACAGGTACGTCCACCGTGATTCACTAACGAGGTGTGTGTTTGGGGCAAGTGTGAATGCCTGCATTAGTTTTGGCTCGGCAACTTTGATGTGTGTATGTTACACTCTCCTCGGATACAAAACTTTCTGTGTGAAATGTACCGTGAGTTGTCCAATGGCAGGTGTGCTATATGACGGGATTTCACAATCTACTCTCGTGTGCACAATCTACTCTCGTGTGCACAATCTACTCTCGTGTGCACAATCTACTCTCGTGTGCACAATCTACTCTCGTGTGCACAATCTACTCTCGTGTGCACAATCTACTCTCGTGTGCACAATCTACTCTCGTGTGCACAATCTACTCTCGTGTGCACAATCTACTCTCGTGTGCACAATCTACTCTCGTGTGCACACATGTAACTGCTACTAGTCCAGTAAAACCTCTTGTACGGCCCAGCCCGGCCCAGCCCGGCCCAGCCCGGCCCAGCCCGGCCCAGCCGGCCCAGCCCGGCCCAGCCCGGCCCAGCCCGACCCAGCCCGGCCCGGCCCGGCCCGGCCCAGCCCGGCGAGACTTGGCGGCCTAGCCCAGTTGGCATCCCACTCGGCAAGTACAGTCAGTATTGTTAGAACACCCATGATAAGAATTTCTGAAAGGATTTACAAACTAAAATAAGCTGCCTATTAAGAATCTTACGGTGATCTTGCCGTCTGCATCCTTAGTGCATGACACAAACCATGTGTTCAGGAACAGCTGCATGTTGGGCAGTGAGCGGAACTTGTCCAGAAAGGTCAGGTCCAGCATCTCCGCACAAAACTACACGTGGTAGCAATACAACAACAAAAAAGAATTCATCAAGGCATCAGTATAGTTGTTTGACCATGGTATACGCGTGTGGATTATTTTTCCAGAGTTGGCGACGCAGTAAGACCAGGGGCGGATCGGGGGAGGGGGGGGGAGGGGGGAGGGGGGGAGGGGGGAGGGGAGGGGTCCGCGAAACCCCCTAAATGTACTACTGGAAACTAAATTGTATACGCATGTATGTGTACATGTATGAGCTATTCAGTTTGGGCTACACTGGAAACCCCTCCGCTGTAGAGTTCTCTGGATCTGTCCACGGAGACTACGGTATGCTAGTACATCATTGCCGCAGACTTTCTGACAGTGTCTGACAGTGTCCGACAGTGTCCGACAGTGTCCGACAGTGTCCGACAGTGTCCGACAGTGGTGTAGGGCATGCAAACAGTGCCGTGATCACGGCCCGTGACTCAGGACTGCATGCAGATTCAGACCAGACCAGATAGGGAAGGGAGGAGGGGGAGGGGGGGGGGGGAGGGGCGCACCAACCCCTAGTATTTTCATAGATGATATTCCTGTGAAGTTGGTCACTTCATAGACTGGCCACTTTCTTCAATAATTGAGATGGATGTGTGCATGCTCACATGCTCCCCCCCCCCCCCTCTCTCTCTCTCTACACCTAGCAATGTGTACTACTGCTAGTGGCACGCGGTGTGGTGTTACGGTGGTGGCAAGAAGGGGGGGGGGGTACGGATCTAGTTTTGCAGCACAGCCCTGTTAACTATACTCCACGTGCTGCAATGCCATCAACTAGCTTCGGTTCTATCAATCATGTGTTCAGTGTAGTACTGTACATGTGTACATGGGACTAACAGTGCAGTATATGGGAAGCAGTTGAACTAAAGTAACTAATATGTTAGTGTACCTGTGGGTTGCACATTGAGTTGTCTAGACGGATCTCCTCCAGCACACCGCCTTCACGTGCCTCAACTTCGAGTTCTTTGCCACGACCTGCAAACACATCCATAGTGTTCACTGTATGTGATAAACCTCTACAAGGAAAATGCCGTATTTTGCAGAACACTCTTCTAGAATGCCATCATGTTGTATGCTATACACGCCAGTGTGGATCATGAAGCTTACAACAAGATGAAACCATACAGGATCATCTCTCGTGCATTGATAATTCCGGTTGTGAAACCGTCATGTATGCTAGTATAGGCTCTACAGTGGTAACAACTGAAATCCAACCACAGCTCGGTGCGCTCCGGCACATTGCAAAGACCCAGCGCAGCGGGATTGTTACACTACCGACCACAGAGACTGCTAGACTGGTGCTGCACCCAAGCACGGAAATCAGTACAGGCGTTGGATGTCAGTTGTCAGTTGCCACTACTGCTGCATGTAGAAGACAGTGCAGCACTGTCTTCTACATGCACATGTTTAAAGTACAATTTATTTCTAAGTACGTCTCGTAGGTACATTCCATATAATATATGATCGTAGCGAGTGGTGAATGGTGATACAGGTTGAGCCAATACATGTACATACTTACCACCACCAAGATCAGCACCGACCATGTGCAGCTTCACCTCACTGGATGCATTTCCACCCAGTACCGGGCGACCTAGGTATCATGCAACATCCACCCAGCCATGGCCGGCAACACCAGCAGAAACACCAGCAACAACAACAGCAGCAGCGGCGGTGGCGGAGGCAGCGGCAACAGCAGCAGAAGCAGCAGCAATGCACACAGCGAAGAAAGCGAGGGCCAGTGTTAGCCTACACCTGCCGGACATTCACAAGACTCACCTCCCTGAAGATCAGCACCCACCATGTGCAATTTCACCTCAGATGAAGCATTGCCACCAAGTACAGGGCGTCCTAGACCATCACATTATGACACAATTAAGCATGCAGCAATCAACAGTTGACGGTGCGCCACATACAACAGTTGACGATGCCGTTATCAGAGAACATTACAGCTAAAGTACCCCCCCCCCTCCCCCCAGCGTATTTTCTGTAATCTTTTGTTTTTGTGGAGCGCTTGGGTTGCAATGAAGCCGAGACCCTATGGTCGGTCAAGCTGCCCCTGCCTCTCCCCCACTCCTGTCATTCCATATGTCTCATCGCTGCCTTGCTCCTTTGTGCCGTCAAATGGCATGCGTTTTTTTCGTAAAAAAACTAATCCTCAGATGACAGTTAATTAATATGCATACATGTATCTGTTCAATGAAGCCGATAACAATGAGAATTTCCCATGACATTCACCCATAGCTACAATATCAATTTGAATATCTGTCCTGGCACTAAGCCCGGAAATGAACACCCACCCATGTTTTCAGTGTCGGGTTCTAGTGTATACAATATACCTCAGTATGTAGCATAGTGCATGTACATCAAGGCCATAGCAGCAGGATTTTAGGTGGTCCAGCCAAATGGGTCACTTGACTGGAAATGCACTTTACTGACCAAAAAGAACCCTTTTTCATGACTTGGGTCGGCCAACCTTTCGAAATGAGATCCGACCATGGCTGGATCAGCCCGACAGAGTGCTACGGTCCTATATATGGTAGTGTCGAGTAATGGATCGATTTGAGCATCATTGACACTAGCACCTAACAGCACACAAGACCACACAAATCCACACAGTACCACACAGTACCACACGGCACCCAACACACTGTGAACACACTGTGAACACAACGCTCACTACAGCAACATGATGGCTTACCATGGACACAGACAACTGAGACTCCACTTCGAGCAGCTCCCAGTGCTGCACCAACTCCGGCACTGCAGCAACAGCAGCAGCAGCCGCAGAACAAGGAACATGAAACACGTACACGTGCACATCTGTTGTTTTTTTGCTTACTAGGCAGATACTCATGGTGTTCTGTGAGAAGAACAGTAACACAGTGGATAGTGTCACGGGAGAACAATGGAACCTTGACTGGGGAGAAGGAGGAGGAGGAGGAGGAGGAGGAGGAGGAGGAGCAGCAGCAGCAGCAGCAGCAGCAGCAGCAGGGAAACGGGGGGGGGGGGGGGGGGAGAGAAGAAGGGGACTGTGTGGAGAAGGGCTTAGGCTGATGGTGATGAGGAGGTGTAGATGTAGTCACATAGTCAGTATGTAGTCAATGTGTAGTCAGTGTGTAGTCACTATGTAGTCAATGTGTAGTCACACAGTCACTATGTAGTCACTATGTAGTCACTATGTAGTCACTATGTAGTCAATGTGTAGTCAATGTGTAGTCACTATGTAGTCACTATGTAGTCACATAGTCACTATGTAGTCAATGACTAGTGTCCTGCCCCCTAGACTAACTAACCTGCCACCTCCAGCAACAAACACATCACATGTTATTGCTGTGTCGATCAAACCAGCACCAGTCGGTTCACTGACATGCTGTCCTTGGGGATCGATAGGGAAAGGACCGTCTGTAGGGTCATCCGCTGGTCGCACACCATGTGTTCCAACTGGATATGGGTCATCTACGCAAAGCATACGTGTATTTGTACAAGACAGTAGAGAACAGGTATCATGGCGTTTGGCACTTCAGACTAGACACTACATACTTTTAAAGAGAAAGAGTACTATTCTTAGAATGAAAGAGCACACTTAGACTTCTGCATAGAAAGAGTACTATTCTTAGCGGAATGCACACTTAGACTTCTGCATGTATATGCAAACGTGTTGTTGTTATTGGGTGACCGGGCCAGAGCCGTAACACATAATCCCTACACATTAGACGCACAAGAGCTGTATTTTTGTACATTTCCAATGGGTATGTTTTACAGGATATCTCTATTGGATAATGGGTGCGGCATATGGGATCTGCTGATCTGAGTTTAGTTCCTGTGACCCGGCAGATGCAGTATATTGGGTATTGGGTGACAGTCTAACTGCTATGATCACTCACTTCACACCATAGCCAGTGCGTCTAACAACTTGGTTCTAGTACAACATGGCTTGACTGCATACACATGTGCCCTTGTAGGATTCAGTTTGATCTCTCACAATACAATACAAACTCAGCCAGTCAGAAGCCTGTCCTGGGACTCACTTGCGAAAAACAGCTGCAAGTCAACATTCAGCTGCTCTTCATCCTGCATGAACACATACGTACACTAACTGTTAGCGGCAGCCTTTTAGTGCATCAGGCAATGACAGGAAGAGGTAATACTGTTATTTTGACTGAGGATAAGTATTAGAGTCTGAGTGTTTTGCAAAGTTAATCACAACAGCACAACATTGAGAGAAGGGGGGGGGGTGGGGGGAGAGAACAGCCAGGATAGGCTTGCAAAGTAAGTTGAAGGAGTGACAATTCACCCTGGAGAAGTAGGGGCTATCTGTATGCTAACTGTACGGTGTACATGAGCTGCGCACATGTAAACAATACACCTCCTCATCTCCTCGTTAGCCCAACGCTGAACTTACTAAAGATGTGACTAGACGTACTCGTAGTGCTACACATAACACTAGCATCAGCATTGCAAATACTTGTTGGCACAATTATAGTTATTGTCATAGTTACGGAGAATGCAGCTGACAAGTCTATCACAGTAATCCCAGTAACAATGGTATGTCTAGGCTATCAGGGAATTACCGTAGCACACACTGTGTGTGTGTGTATGTGTGTGTGTATGTGTGTGTGTGTGTGTGTGTGTGTGTGTGTGTGTGTGTATGTACGTGTGTGTGTGTGTACATGTGTGTGTGTGTGTGTGTGTGTGTGTGTGTGTGTGTGTGTGTGTGTGTGTGTGTGTGTGTGTGTGTGTGTGCCAGCTAGTTCGGTTGGTGGGTACACTTATGCCTGATTGTGTTGGGTCTGTTGCCAACGGGCTCAGATGCTTGAAGGTGTATTGTTGTACCTACCACCTTTGTTGGTTTCAGGGTTCATATACTTTCTATTTGAAGTACTTCAAGTATACATACCTGTTAACCATAGACTGCTTCTGGCTAGATTAACTCTTGTGTAATCAATGGTGCTAGTGAAGCTTATATCAGATCCACTCTGATTTAGCCACCCACACTAGTAGCAAAATACTATCTTCACTGCGGGCAGGGGTAACTGCAATTGGATCCCAGGACGGATACCCTGATGCCGTCAATCCTTTTTCTGCACCTTGTCCTCACCCACTTACTGAGGTGTGGTGAGGCCATAAGTGGGATCATTTCAAGTCCACCCTAGTTTGGGGAGTTCATGGGGTGTCGGCCGTTGGGCGGTTCAATGGCCAATTGAGTCATCTTTCCAAGATTCCTTTTGAGTCTCTCTCCCCTCTCCCGGGGAGACCCACGTGACCAGTTTTGGCAGTGAGCAAGTACAAGTACAAGTGTGTGTGTGTAGAACTGTTATTGTGCCACTGGGCTGTACTGTATAGACACACAGTAACAGTAACAGTAACTTGACTTGCAACGGTATGAAATCTGAGTATGCATGTACCTTGAGAGACTGGAGTACAACCTGCATGTCTCGGTCACACTCCATCAAGCTATAGGTGACTTCAGCAGCTTGGGCAGCATCACCTAACCAGTCAGAGAGAGACAGACAGACAGAACACTTGGAAAGCTAAGCGGTTACCATTTGTATGAGTCTGTCATTCAGCGGCCACTGTGGTTATTGAACAACATGCCATGCTCTAACAATGAGTATTGAGTGTTCATGTGGAACTCAGTGGCGGATCCAGGGGGGGTTCCGGGGGTTCCATGGAACCCCCTAAATTTTGCAAAGTGTACTGCTGAGAAATATCGAAAAATATCATGTGTGCACAAAAGGACGTCCGTCCGATCACAGTGCAGTCATGTCACTGAGTCAAGGAGTACAGTGCACTGCATGCGGTAGATCGATACTGTACCGTGTACGTAGTCTGTCTACTGGCGTTCATGTCCGTGATTTACAAACGGACACTGTAGACGTGTAGTGTAGACAACATTGGGAGCTTGTTTCCTTTTTGATCTTTGGAAACGATCCAAATTTTACCTCCATTGGCGCTGTCATTCACTGCTGCTCTGGATGGTTATGGTCAGTATTCCTTGGACAAGTTTTTTTCCGGAAGAGAAAGGATGTTCCGATTGATGACACTCTTCAACGAACTTCGAATAGTACACGTAGAGTTCAAGCTCCTCAGAAGATGAGGGCTCCGACATCCAAGCAAAGTCAGTAATCTCTACCTGCTGCAGCATGCAGTAGTGACTAGTTGTTACTCCGCAGGAACGGAGTGCTGCGCCAGCGATGTGTTTTAGATGGCCTTGAACGGATTGTCGAGACGACACTGTTTCGCTGTTGTTGTTTCTGTCAAGTGAAGACAATGCTCCTGTGATTATAGAGCATTTCGCATCGTAAAAATGCTAAAAAAATCCGAAAGTACAAACGGACAGGGAAAGTTGTCATTTCGGCATTTCTGGCTCTCAACGAACCCATGGCTTGCATATTCGATCTTTACAAGAAAAGTTGAAAGGGTCTTCAAGCCCTCACTGAACCTGTGTGCCAGTCGATTGCAAACATGTATAATTATGATTATGTGTCCATACTAAATATATACAATGTAGGGTAAGCAGCAGCATTTGGCCCTGTACAGGTTTTCCATCGTCCACCACACCACAACTGCGCTCTCCAGCGATGGTGCAGTGGTGGTGTGCTGTGGCAAAGTGGAGAGCGCAGTTGTGGTGTGGTCGATGATGGAAGAATATGTGTCCGTAGTTTGTTTTAAAAGCATGCGATTCCAACTAACACAATCGGATTGTCGTAATTACAACCGCACAACTTCAATACAATCTGATTCCATAATATTTTGGCTGTTCAATTTTGGTTCAACCGGAACCCCCCTGTAGAGATCTCTGGATCCGCCCCTGGAACTGATACCCAAGAATAGAAGGTGGATAATGCAATCATGTTCAAACTGTGACTTAGCAATGAAATCACTAGATGATGATTTTTGACAAGGCTTGGCATATGATCACTCCTCACTGAACCAGTACAGTGTAGTGATGAACTGAACATACTGAAGTATAATCTGACTCAAATGCCATCTTGATGTGTTAGGTGCTGTCTACGTACGTTCATGATTGCTACAGTATACTTCAACTTTTAAAACCCATGTGTTGACAGAATGAATCATGTGAGAGATACAGTGCTCACTACTACACACAAAGTACCGTTGACCCCCCCCCCCCCTCTCCCCCTCCTCCCCCCCCTCCCCCTCCCCCCCCCCCACACACACGCTGCGTCTGACACAAACACATTACGCAATCTACAGAATCGGTACACTGTGCACGTTACACAGCATACACTGACATGCACGCACACACATAATACACTGTACAGTGGCGGATCCAGGATCCGAAACAAGGGGGGGGGGGCACACTACAGGCTCAATGGAACAAGTTTACTTTTACAATGACTTTTGTGATACTCGAACATGTAAATGTATGGGCACTATTGGTATAATAATTATAACAATCAGCAATTGTACCAACCAAACGGAAAAAGACCTGTTTTATGATGTTTGTGATGTTTTATGAGTTGATGTAATTATTTAGTTCAAGTTGTATAGTAAAATGATTAATTTCTAATGCTGGTATGCAAGTGTGAAATACTCGTACTATTAGTTCAGCTATCAGCAGTGATTGCGTTGGAAAGCAGCATACGCCTGGGCTTCATCCGTGCAAACCGGTCGATGACGTCATCCACATCAAGGGCGATGTCCTTATGGACGAAGAGTAGAATCAGGTCGTTGAGACGCTGATTGCCCATGGTGCTGCGCAACTTGGTCTTGCTGTAGCCAAGTGCGGAGTTGCTGCGCTCAACAGTTGCTGTTTGTCGCGAATGCGATCGGATTTATTCGTAGTCACGAGCACAATGCATGTATATAACCAAGAATTCACAGCTACGTATACATGTATCCTTGTTCAGTGCATGATTTGTACGTTCAATCACTCGCATCCCTTTGTGACACCTCTTCTTCACTTTGCACTTCGTAACACTTCGTTGCATTTCTAAGGTTCAATTCTGGGCACCCTTTTCTCACCTTGCAATTCGTTGCATTTCTAATGTTTCCGTTCCGGGCACCCTTTGATTCAGTTTGAACCCATGCACCTTGGCTTGCACACGCACCGACATCCAACACGGACTGTGTGTACGACTATCGGCATCTTTGATGGCCTTCACTATCCATTTTCATGCTCACAGTTGGACTCGTTGCACCGTGCGTATCTTTATGTGTTACCTTTTCAGCTACATGCACGTGTAGCTGTTTTAGTTCCACAACTTGGGGTGCTCTTCTTGCTTCTCTTTGATTCTTCGCTACTCCTTGGGAGCTAATTTCGATGCGTTTGTATATTTATCGCTTGTATATTTCTGCTGACGCTGTACGCAAGACACTTTCACGGCACACTACTGCTACAGGCATACACTCCGACTCACCTATATTATCGCTCTCCCCTTGTAAATATTCTTCAGTCTTGATTCACAAGAAAATTGGGCACTAAGGAAAATATGGTCTGCTTCGAGTGGTTTATGTAAAGGGTATGTACATGGTTCGCGACATTTTGGTGCCGAAACCCGGGAGAGTCGAGCGGCGACTCTCCTAGTACAGGAATTTGAACGACCGACGAACCATGGAAAACCAAGCGGCGGTGAGGGGCAAGCGCCAAAAGGCTGCTCGTCACCACAAGACGATCAAAGATATGGAAACGACAACGGGTAGTTTCCTCTCGGCAATCTCAACGGACATTGAATCGGATCCAGCAGCAGTCAGAAAGCTATGTCAACACAATTTCCAATTGGACTCGCATCTCGAGGCACTCGAAATATCGCTGGAAAAGTATACTGATTTAATTAACAGGTACGAAATAAAAGGGTCTGACGACCAGGAATTCAAGGAAAATCAAACGGAATGGATCGAACAAATGGATGAATTTATACGTGTAACTAACATTAATTTGGTGTCACTAAAATTCTTACAAATGGAATGTCAAAAAAAGGATCCGCAACCTGCAGCCACGGCAATGGCGGCAGGAACTACAGCAACTATAATGGATGACGACAAACTCGACAGACTGCTGTCGGAAATGGTATCAATGAATCAAAGCAATCAGAGCATCATGACAAATTTGACGAATTCTCAGAGTAATGCTAGCAATAAAACTGGTAACACGGTCAAATTGCCTAAACTGGAATTGTTCACTTTTGATGGTGATGTAATGAAATTTAAGGAATTTCAAGATATGTTTACTGCCACTGTTCACGCAAATAAATCTTTGTCTGATGTGGAGAAGCTATCTTACCTGAAAACACACGTGAAAGGAAAAGCGCTGGAATGTATCTCTGGTTTGGCCCTGTCAAATTCAAATTACAAGGTTGCATGGGATTTGCTAATGGATCGGTTTGGGAAAGACCATGTTGTAATCAATGCTCGGTACTTGGCATTAGTCGATTTGGAGAAACCGTCTAGCCGACCTGAATCATTGCGGAAATTCTTGAATGACGTCGAGGCAAACATCAGAAGTCTAGGTGCGCTACATGAGGACATGTCACAGGCACTATTCATTCCACTGATTACCTCCAAATTACCGAAATCGGTTATGTCCCAATTAGAATTAAAGAAAGGCACTACCACAAAATGGACAGTGCGAAGTCTACGTGAGGCAATGAACCACTACGTAGATGCAATGGAAGCAGCGGAAGCTGCAACTACCGGCGGAAACGAACGACAAAGGGACCGACCATCCAACCCAACGACACACGTAGCTCACTCAATGGCAGCAAACACGGTAAAAATGGAACGTAAATGCATCTACTGCGGACAATCGCATTTCGCTGATGAGTGTACCAGGTACACAGATGCAGAAACCAGAAAAGATCAATTGAATGGACGGTGCTTCATTTGCCTGAAATCTGGACACAGTGCAAGGGCATGTGAGCGCACTAAACCATGCTACTACTGCAAACGCACAACACACCATTGCAGTATCTGTCCAGAGAAATTTGGCACAGGGAATGTGTCATCCCCAATTCAAACAACAATGGGAGTGGCAATCTCAGATCACAAGAAAACGGTTTTACAAACTGCAGCTACAGAAGTATCAAATGAAAGTGGGACCAAGGAATGCCATGCTCGGATTTTATTCGACACCGGAGCAACTAGATCCTTTATCACTGAATCCCTATGCCACAAACTGCAATGTAACAAGATTGGCGAGGACACAATCTCAGTGTCAAGCTTTGGTAACGAAAAACGGAAAATCGAAACCATGCCAAGAGTCAATCTACGAATTGAACAACCAGACAAATCTTGCACGGAGGTCTGCGCAAATGTCACATCAATCCTGTGTCACCCAATTCAACGATTCCCGCTTCCAAATGATATGAAGTTGCATGGCATGCCTCTTGCGGAACCACCTGTACAGGAACCAGAGAAGTATGACGTGGACATACTGATTGGTGTAGATTACTATCACAGATTCATAATGGACGGCAGTATTGCACTGCAGAATGGCATGTACATGGTAAAATCAACGTTCGGGTATTTACCATCAGGAAGTACGGAGTATCATGGAATTACGGATGATGCAGTACATGTACTCACTACGTTGCCAACGACAAGCCACGATCCAATGGAGGATACTCCTGTCACTGCTATTCTCGTGCAGGGGGAGGGTCCTGACGGATCACCAGCAGGCATGGACCCGGAACAATTCACGTCTTTCGGGAAACTAGTCAGAGTCACAGCGTACGTACAGAAATTTATTGATAAAATCCAAAAAAAATCGGTTGGCAATACCATCTCACGTGACGAATACCAACGAGCGGAATCGAAATGGATGCAATTTACACAACCACAACACTGTTTGTCATGTAAACAGCACGATGGTGGCCCGTTTCAACTCCCGAAACCCCCTCCGGCTTTTGCCCAAGGAAAGAATAATGGAGTTGCTACCGTATGATTTCACAGGCATAGATTACGTTGGACCTATTGAGTTTTAAATCAAACGAAGGCTCGATGAAATGCAAACCATGATAATTACGAATTCAGTCTGAATACAAATAACTGTTTCCACTCAATTTTTCTCTTTCAACACTTCATTTCACAGTTGTAATTGTTCACTCATGTGTATGCTATTTCATAACTATGGTAGTCACTTTCAGCGGGCGGGAGTGTCGCGAATGCGATCGGATTTATTCGTAGTCACGAGCACAATGCATGTATATAACCAAGAATTCACAGCTACGTATACATGTATCCTTGTTCAGTGCATGATTTGTACGTTCAATCACTCGCATCCCTTTGTGACACCTCTTCTTCACTTTGCACTTCGTAACACTTCGTTGCATTTCTAAGGTTCAATTCTGGGCACCCTTTTCTCACCTTGCAATTCGTTGCATTTCTAATGTTTCCGTTCCGGGCACCCTTTGATTCAGTTTGAACCCATGCACCTTGGCTTGCACACGCACCGACATCCAACACGGACTGTGTGTACGACTATCGGCATCTTTGATGGCCTTCACTATCCATTTTCATGCTCACAGTTGGACTCGTTGCACCGTGCGTATCTTTATGTGTTACCTTTTCAGCTACATGCACGTGTAGCTGTTTTAGTTCCACAACTTGGGGTGCTCTTCTTGCTTCTCTTTGATTCTTCGCTACTCCTTGGGAGCTAATTTCGATGCGTTTGTATATTTATCGCTTGTATATTTCTGCTGACGCTGTACGCAAGACACTTTCACGGCACACTACTGCTACAGGCATACACTCCGACTCACCTATATTATCGCTCTCCCCTTGTAAATATTCTTCAGTCTTGATTCACAAGAAAATTGGGCACTAAGGAAAATATGGTCTGCTTCGAGTGGTTTATGTAAAGGGTATGTACATGGTTCGCGACACTGTTGTGACAAGTGCAAGTTCTGGTGCGCACGGATCGCGGATCGCGGAATACAGATCGACGCGACGAGAGTTGACAGTTCACAAGTTCAGTACACGCGTACCGCGTATCGATCTACGGACCCGGTGAACCAGTGCATGAATGTGTACAGTGCATGCAGTACAGCGACTGGGCCTTGTCATCTACACAGGAAGTGCGCGCGAGCTCGGTTTCGATCGAGATCAGTAAAAAACAAAGTCGGTCGGCGCTTCTGAAGGGGGGGGGGGGCACGTGCCCCCTTCGCCCCCCCCCCCCTCTAAATCCGCCACTGCTGTACACGTCACACCGTCACCATACGCTCGCATGTGCTCACATGTCTAATACAAGCTACTATAAACAAAGCAAAGAATATTCCGCACCAGCATGCACTGATCAGGTCATGCAGCAGACTGAACTTACCTGCAGAAGACACAGTTCGGTCTTGGATCCAAACTCGGACACGCGGTGTCACATTACTTGCACCAAGGCATGACTTCACATCATCCATGAACAGAGACTGAAGTGACATTAGAAGCTGATGCAACGTATACTGCGGGATGTCGTCAACTTCCAACTGCCGACGGCGGATAGCAATGACAGTTTCCACGGCATCTGTAAAAAGTGCACGATGTTGCATGATTGTCAGTGTGAATGTCAGTGTGAATGTCAGTGTGAATGGTCAACATACCATCATGGTACTACTGTATTGTACACTTAGGGGAAAGGTCCATGAGACAATAAAGTCTGCCAAGATACACGCCTCACTGCCAGCCAGCGAACCAACCATCATTGTGTCATCGGGTGTATGTTTAAGTAGTTAGCTCAGCAGCAGAATGTTACATGCAGGCTTGCTTTATCCTTGCTCTCAGCAGATACATATAATTATATAACGTTACATGTATACAGCTAGTAGTACAGTCAGACCTTGCTTATCCGGTCCTCTTTTATCCGGTCTTCTTTTATCCAGTCCTCTTTTATCCAGATCCCTCGCCATCCGGAAGAACATCGTTGGTTACCTATTTACAGCATATGCCATGCATACATACAGTATGTGTGTTCGATTATCCGATTCCCTCGCCTATCCAGATAGTTTTGTGGAAAACGGATGTGTGCGGTTAAGCGAGGCCTGGCTGTGTACTCAGGTTGCATACAAGACTGATCCATATACATGCATACACATGCATACACATGCATATACATGCATACACATGCATACACATGCATACACATGCATACACCCCACACACTTACACATGCATACACATGCATACACATGCATACACCCCACACACTTACACATGCATACACCCCACACGCTTACCCATGCATACCCCCCCCCCCCACACACACACACACGCAGCACATATAGCATACTCTACAAACTGTTCTTTCCCACTATGGCATGTGAAATATTCTTTAAATCGTCCCACCCTGACTGCTAAGCAACACAATGCCAGTACTTGGGAGGGCTCCTGCTGATTGTGATACCCTTACATCATCACCGTGCCTCAGATTACAGTCTTACAGAGCAGCTACTGGTATGTCAGTGCAATGCATGAGAGCAGGAGCAACTAGTCATGCTGCTGGAATGATGCTCCACTCACTCCATTCTATTGCCGAGTTCTGCTTTTACCCATTAGAAGCCTGCCATTGCCTAGTCATTAGTAGCCTGCCATTGCCTAATCATTAGTAGCCTGCCATTGCCTAGTCATTAGTAGCCTGCCATTGCCATTGCCATGACCTAGTCATTAGAAGTTAGATCGTAGTGTGAAATAAATCAACCAAACCTCTACTGACCATCCAACCAAACACTTCAACCATCAAGCCAACCAACCAACCAACCAACCAACCAACCAACCAACCAACCAACCCTCCAACCAAATCTCCAACCAACCAACCCTCCAACCAACCAACCCTCCAACCAACTCCCCAGATCCGGACGGTCCCTAATCCGGGCACATCCGTATACCGGGCCGGGCACATCCGTATACCGGGCACCTTTCTGACCCATCTAGATTCATAAAACATGGCCTTTCAACGAAAAACGGCCCCAAAACAGGCATATTGATTGGCATAAAATCTTTAACTGTTACTTGCATGCAGTAAGTATAGTATCATAACTATAAGGTCTGATCTGAGGTACGGGCAATTCCTAGTTACGGGCAGTACTCGGTCCCGACCTGCCCGGACCTGCCCGGACCTGCCCGGACCTGGGGACTTTTACTCTACTACTGCTAGTACTTCAACAAGTTCAAGTTCAAGTATAGCCGATAATAATTTTCATTGACTACTGTGACGAATCAAACAGTGCTGAGCTGGTCATTCACATGCACCCGCACACCTCTAGGCTAGCCTAGGCTCTAGGCCCTAGTAGTCATGGTAGTAGTACGAATGCATGCATACAGTCAGTATTGCCTGCTGGGTGGTCATACGTACCGCTTGTCCATTGGTCAAGGTTGAAGTCTTCCTTGCCTTTCACAAGGCGACACTTCAACGCTACACGGAGTGGCATCTTTCCTCGCTTTAGATCATTCGTTTCTTGAAAAGGCGATGGTCAGATTCAGTGGCGCAGTTCACCTGATGCGCTAGACTTGCGTCCTCAGCAGGACACAGCTTTGTGGTGTTCTGTGTTCGCAGACTCTACTGTACTGTGTGACCTTGGGAAGGTTGTCTTCTTGCGCTTCAACGGTGGTCGTCCACTAAAACTACTCTGACGTTAGACCGTCGTGTTCGGCCAGCAGTGGACTGTGCTTGCTTCTTTTTGTACCGTGCTGACTGGTGTCTTCATGATCTTCGCATCATCAGGCCATGCGCCAGTCTTCTCCGGACATGTTGACAGCACATCGGGACATTGTCCGAGGCGGGGGGATAGTACTGGGTGAACGACTCGGTGCAGTACAATGTAGTACTTCGTCAGCCGATCGCCATGGCCAGCATTAGCAAGTCACCTGGATGTCACAAGTCTAGGTCTTTGTCAAAATGATTCGATTTTGGCAGGCAGGGCTTGTCGCCTGCATGGCATGCACGCTGTCCGCACTAACCCGCAGCGCTTCGAGTTCTACACAAACTACTGACAGGCTACAATTTCAACGGTACAATAGTACGGCTCGCGTTGCTACCCTTGCGTGCAACGTGACCGGTCAAGGAGGTTTCGTTGGCGTCGATCCAAAACAGCTTTACTAAGGCTTCTCGTCTTCTATTCGTCGATAAGAGTCCTGCGTCCGACCAATGATTATGTTGTTACGACTGATCATGGTCATTGATGGTTGAGGCGCTGTCGATCGTTGATCGAGCTACATGTATCATCATGTAGAATCTACCAGTCATGTTTCCAAATGGCTACATTTCGCACTTGTCAGCCTTAGCCTTGGTCAATATCATGGTCACATGATCATGATTATCATGGCTATCATTGATCATGCATCATTCGGAACAGTTGTGAACATTCCAGCAGCAGTGCCAACACTGCAACAAACACTGCAACAGTTTCCTGATCACACTGTATCATTGTACAGCTGGATCATAGTTGTTGTAACCGTAACTGCTTCTGGGCTATTTCTAATTTTCTATACAATCATGCAGGCTAAGTAGCCATACATCCTCGCACTGACACTCTCCAAACTACACGACTTTGTACAATCATGTAAGTACTCGGAGAGTTGTTCGATACCGCGAAGGCAGAAACAAAAATAATAATACGAGCTTGCAATGGAACTAACTAAATATAATTGTTACTTGTGACAAAGATCCGATTTTCATTGCTACTCAGACTGAGAGCCATAGCTATTCATCCAGTCCGCATCAGACAACGACGATGACACTAATGGTTCATACCTAGGGTGATATTGTTATAGGGTTGGGAGGCCAAGCGAGAAAAACAGGCCGCGTGACAATTTAGTGCAGCAGGTGAAGGTGTCAAGAAGATGGCTGCTCCCAACCGTTACCGCCGACGCGACGTCGAACGCGAAGGTGTCGTTCCCGGAAGTGCGAGGTGACGAGGCGTTGCAAGAACTTGAAGAAGAGTATGAAGTCTGATGACCTGGAGTGTGACATTATACGGGAGGAAGGCTAGTACAAGTAGGTCTACGGAATCACGCAAGGTATTGATGATGAAAGCATGAACTGAGCATGAACTGAGCAAAGGCAATGGCAACATACGTGTATAGTCACGCACGCACGTATAGTATAAACACAATGCACGCACTTGCTGACTGTATAAGATCTGGTTACGTTGGTGGACAGTTAGTCATAACTCGTAACATGTTGTCCTCCTTTTTTCCACCATAATTTAATTGGCTCACCATCCGAGTTAAACAATGCAGTGTGTATTCGCATTATGGCACATATGCGATCACTCAGACTCAGACTCAGATATGCCCATCGCGGGAGCGAGGATAGGGAACGGCTTCGTTTGACATAGCAACTTGTGCTGGCAATAATTTGAGCCTGGTCTACATCACACAGCTGATTGAAGTGGTGTTTTCTGGCCAGTGAATCCCTATTCTTCATTTTTCCATCCTTTTTTCAAGTTTTTTGACACATACACACACCATCACCACCTACTCCGGCATGCACTGGCTGTTGGTAACCACCCAGGAGAATGAAAGAAGAGCTAGGAGAATGAGAAAGAGAAGAAAGATGTGTGCGACCATAATCGTGTGCAACCATAATCGTCGGGAATTGAACCCGCAGCCTCTCAATTGGAAATTGACTGCACATACCACTGCACCAATGGCGCGCACACACACACACACACACACACACACACACACACACACACACACACACACACACACACACACCCCTTGAGTGCAAAGTTGCAATCGTTACCCCAATTTACAAGGGTAAGGGAATGACCCAGCTAACTACATGCACCGACCGATATCTCTGCTGAATGGCGTGGCAAAATGCTACGAAGCGTTAATCAGCCGCCAGGTGTACGCGTTTGTAGCGAAACACAAACTGCTGTCGCCGAAACAGTTCGGGTTTCGCCACTGGGCCATCGAAGCACGGTTGACCAACTTGTGTATGTCACATCAACTGTCAGCTCCGCATGTGATAACCGGGCCCAGTGTGGTGCCGTCTTTCTCGATTTCTCGAAGGCATTTGATCGTACCAGCCATCGCCTCCTAGCCTCATGTCTGTCCGGTTGGTGTGCACGGTGCACCTGACTCATTCGCGTGGCTGATGGACTTCCTGGAAGGCCGATCGATGTCTGTGCGGGTCGGCACTGCTTTATCAACCCATATGTCGCTCACCGCTGGTGTGCCACAAGGCTCCCATCTAGGCCCTCGATTATTCAACCTTTCTTTCAACTCCTTTCCCAGCATTCCCCAATCCAGCGACCTGACTCTGTTTGCGGATGATTCCAACATGGTCTGCGTTTCTCCGCCTACTGTCGTACCCGCCGCGCATACTGCCTCCTTGCAACTAGACATTGATAAATGTGTGAGCTGGTCCCATAAAGCTGAAGCAGTTTTCAATGCTAACAAATGTGTCCATGTTCCCTTTTACAGACCTAAATCAAACCCACCTGATCCCAGGACCGTCACCATGGCCGGTACGTTACTGACCCAGCCCTCTTTCCACTGTCATCTGGGCATCATCCTCACTCCTTCACTCAATCTGCCCCCCCCCCCCCCATATTCAGCAAATTTCAAGGTCGGGTTTTTTCTTTTAAACCACATGCCCAACTTCCTTCCTTTTCCTGCTGTGAATCTTTTGTATAAATGTTATGTTCGTCCCCTCCTTGAATATGCTGTTCCCGTTCGGATGTTTTCCGTTTTAGCCACCATGTCCACAACCCTTGATAAACTGCAGGCTACTGCTGCTAGAGCATACTTTTAAAATAGTAAATTCAAGCGTCAGCCTGACTGGACGACTTCCAAAGAAGACCTCAATGTTCTGTCCTCTTGTGAATCTTTAGCATGGCGATGGCAGATTCTTGGCCTTGTCTATTTCCACCATGTATTCTCCCAATATCCTTCCTTGTTGTCTCACTTCCAGCTACCCTCTTCCCAAAGCAGTCGCCACCCCTCATCCATAATTCTTCCTAAAGCTGGCGCTTACTTTCGTAAATCAACCCATTTTTCTTTGAGAGTTGCTTGGAATAAACTTCCCGAAGATATCCGTTCACTCTCTACAACAGCGAAATTTAGTATTGCTGTTCGTCGGTATCATTCGCAATCTATGTTTTCTTTGAAAGGTATTCCTGACTTTTGTGTCTAGACCGCATGTATGATAGTGTCTAGACCGCATGTATGATAGTTTCAATAGTTTCTGTATACTGTAATTTCACAAATTTTCGGTGTACTTTTATTTTCGGTACTTTCGGTGCGTCTGTTTCATACCTAAAATTTCAATACACCGAACAAACACCAACACACATAATACAATAGGGAACTGTTTCTCTGTACCGAAAATTTCTGTTCACCTAACCTAGCCTGTTGCCCTCATACCGAAAATATTGAGCACCGAAAATTTCTGAAATTAGAGTATGTCAGTTATAGTAGTCCGCAATGCTGCTTTTCTAATTCTCATTATGATTAGCATGCAATGTACTACCCGAAGTACTGAATTTACTTCTTTTTGTACTCTATATTCTAATGTATCTTCTACCTCTTCTCCCCTACGAACATACTTTCTCATTTTCCATACTTACTTAGGAGACTCCCTTCGATAGGCATCCATTTGCCTCTGGAGGATCCATGAAATAAAATCAATCAATCAATCAATCACACACACACACACACACACACACACACACACACACACACACACACACACACACACACACACACACACACACACACACACACACACACACACACACACACACACACACACACACACACACACACACACACACACACACACACACACACACACACACACACACACACACACACACACACACACACACACACACACACACACACACACACACACACACACACATACACATACACACACACACACACACACACACACACACACACACACACACACACACACACCTGACCTGACCTGACCTGACCTGACCTTTGACGCCCATCGCCGGAGGCGATGATAGCAATGCTACGGCAGAAGCCATAGCAGCTTGTGCTGGGATTACACCATTCAACAGCTTGCAAGGCTGAAGAATTGACCGTCACTATTCAGCCTGGTCTACACCATACAGCTATTTGGAGTGACATTTTCTGGCCAGTGAATCCCTATTTTTGGTCTTTTCATTTTTTTTTCCCCGCACACACATCACACCACATACTCCAGCATGCACTGGCTGTTGGTAACCACCCAGGAGAATGAAAGAAAAGTCAGGAAGAGTCTGAGAAAGAGAAGAAAGACGTGTGTGACCATAATCGTCGGGAATCGAACCCGCAATCTATCGATTGGAAATCGCTGCACATACCACTGCACCATATGGGACACACACACACACACAAACACACACACACACACACACACACACATCTGTCCTGTCCTGTTGAGCCACTGCCATGAAGGTTACGTGGGCCCCGGAGGGGCAGCTGAGAGAGAGGAGGAGCACACAGCCCTGTGACGATCCAGGTGATGCGGTAAGCGAAATCAGCGGGAGCACATACGAAACCCTGACGGTCCTGAACGGTCGGACGACTACAAGTCCGTGAGCAGCGATGACGGGCGCGGCCGCGTGTAGACGCAAAGCAGCGGTCACAAGCCTGGCAGTGAGCGACGCAGCACAGCGGCAGGGGCGCACCGACTGCTGACTGGGGGTAAGTACACTTGTGCCTTGCCAGACCCCCACGGGACTTCAGCCAACGGCCACACTCTCCACACTGGCATGCACCTTTCTGCTCCGCAACCGGCTTCGCACGCTGAACCCTACACTTGTGGCGTGCGCGATCACTGGGGCGTGCAAACTGTCGGTCGCAGGTGTAGCAGGTGACGGGAGGGGTGGGATGCTGGGCATCTACCGGTGCTGAGTACGCCGAGCGCCAGGTGGAACGCGACTCGCATTCAGCTCGCCATTCCCCCTCGAGGCCGCGAGAACGAAGGTCAGACACAATACAATCCTTCCAGCGCCGACGAGGGCCATGAGCTGGGCGACGCGACGGAAGCGTGCCAAAGAGCACTTGCTTCGGCAGCCGGTGGTCCTCCATCCGAGCAACATGTCCGAGCCATTCAAGGCGGCGTTGCTCCACCTTCGTGCGGATGGTGTCGGGATCACCCCACCTCACGCGTAGTTGGTGATTGGTGATGTGGTCATCCCAGCATTCTTGGCGAGACACTCCCATGATCGAGCGGATGTATCGGTGGTGGAAGACAGAGAGCCGCTGCAAATCCCGTTGAAGAGCACACACACACACACACACAAACGCTGAAACACACACACACACACACACACACACACACACACACTGAAACACACACACACACACACACACACACACAAACACACACACAAACACACACACAAACACACACACGCTGAAACACACACCGTACACACACACACACACACACACACACACACACACACACACACACACACACACACACACACACACAAACACACACACACAAACACACACACACACACACACACACAGCCCCGCCCCCCGCGCGTGGGTGCGTACAGTGTACGTGTGTGATCTTGCCAGTTCCTTTGCTTTCGTGTTTTCATCAAATCTCCGCACTAGCCTTCCCAGCATAATTTCACACCCCAGGTCATCACTCATCAGACATCATACTTTTCTCAGTACAACTATGACGTAATGAATATAGATACACATCACAGACATCATACTCTTCTCACTCAAGTTCTCAGTACAACGTGACATCATCACCCCGCACTTCCGAGAACTACACGGCATCGGTGATAATTATTTAGGAGCAGCCACCTTCTTGAATCTTGACACCTTCACCTGCTGCGCTCAGTTGCCACGCCTGTTTTGTCTCGCTCGGACTCCGAATCCTATACGCTATAGCCATACTAACCCTAGCCTAGGTATGAAGCCATTGAAGGTATTATTATCATGGTTGTCCCCAGTGATGACTGGATGAATAGATAGGACTCTCAGTCTGACTAGCAACGGAAATATTGCCTTGTTCCATTTCAGCCTTATGAAGTGCATGTACCTGTATGTACTCTAGCACTGTAGAGTGTAGTGTAGCAGCTTGCCAAACTTGTTCTACTCTTGCATACCGGTAGTCACATTGACTGCGTATAGCACTCAGTTTGAAAATCGCCCAGTACCAACAGGGTCCAGTTGGACCAGTTCCAAAAATAGCTTCTCACCCGGGTCAAGTAAGCTTCTCTTCAACCTACCCACAACTACAACTACGAGTAGGCTTAGCAAGAGTACATAATGGGGGTTATGTACTCTTCAGTATTACTATTAGTAAGCCGTGCAACCCGGACATGGTGGAAACAGTCGTGCACCTAAGTCCTTGATTCAAGTAGTTCAAGTATTTAGTTATCATACTACTTCAGAAGGCTTTGCCTTTGGAGCCATCACTGACTGGGCAGCATGACTGAAGTTGACACGTGCCGTGTAGTGTGCACGACGAGTAGTTGTTGCCCGTAAGGTTCGCCATAACGTCCCAGCGCCCTCCGTCTCACGTCCCACTGTCTGTCCTTTCGGGCAAATGAGCGAGGAAGTCGTAGATTTACGACTCCCCGCGTAGCCGCGCCGCGCGCGCCGTTCCCAAGTGCACGTGGCCCTACTCCGTGCACGTGTCGTGCACAATCATCTTGAAAAAGTGCAAGATAAAGATTTCAGATATTCAAAGATAGAAATAATTTCTTTCTGTTCAGTCTGAAATATCTTTGGAAGCCAATAGCATCATGGAGAGCGCCAGTACGGATACCCCTGATGTGATATGCTTATCAGATGACAAGGTGGTTATCTCCTCTGGCTCCTCTGATGAATCTTCTGATTCATCCGGCGAGTACGAAAGTGATTCTGAAGGCGAAGGTCGAAAAGAGGAAGTAAAATCGTAAGTATGATTTGAGCTGTTCCTTATTTTGCTCAATCATGCCCTGTATGTATTGGTGTCAATTCCTATGTGTCGCCCCTTAGCCTTTCTCCTTGTCGATATCCCTGCTGACATTATTTTCTGGCTTCTCAACCGGCTAGTGTCAATATCCACTATGCAAGGTTTGGTTCTTGCTGATTTGATGTTTCTACCTTTTTCCTTACTGCTGCTGCTGTTTGTTGCCAGTGGATGCATCATGTGCTCAGCAACGCCCAAGTATCGGTGTCCTGGTTGTGCTCGACAAACATGCAGGTAAATGTATATTTTGTTTTCTGTATGTCAAGTTTGGATTTTGAAGGTCTGAATTGGTCAACCATTCTAGCATAGATTATGTGTCAGTGGAAGAATTCCTGTACAATGTTGAGTACTATACAGTCTAGTATATGTCCTTGAAACTACTAAGCCTGTGTTTACATGAGAACATAGCACAGGAGCATATAACTCCGAGAGTGTGTGTTCTGTACTACTGTCGTGGACATGGAAATCCAGTCGCACGTCTAGCAGCCCCAAGGCGCTGGCCATGCAGCCGTAGGTAAGCAGTACACACATGCATGCAGCGCGCTGGTCGCGACGGCATGCAACGAGTTACATGCACCTAACGTTCTGTACGTGCTGAGGGCGCCGGCCCCGGTCAATCGACTGGATTTCCATGTCCACGACAGTACATACAGCAAATATCAGTGTGTGTGCTCTGTCTGTATAGAAAGGTTTTGGGCCCGTTTACATGAGAAACATAAACCCGGGCTTCTTTTTCACCCTTTTTTACATGACCGAGGTACGGGGCTGACTTTAGGTGGGTGGCTGCGAGTTTCGTGTGCGTTTTATTTTTCAAATCGCACATGAACA